TTTTTGACACTGATAAATATTGACAATGATCAGGGTATTTTGGTAACTGGCAAATGATAAAAAAATGCTAAATCGATTTATAGATGACGAGAAATAGTGCAATATACTTTATTTACACCCATAATAATAAAGTAAGAAAGATGTGAATATTTAAAAAAAATGTTCCATAAGTTTCTCTTTCACTTACATTTATTCTGTCTCCCTCTCTAGAGATTGACTTAGGAGTTACAGAAACTTTGATCGACACCATGCCTAACTCTTCTAGGGTAGGGTAGGTGCCTGAGCCCGAGCCTTTAGCTCACAAGACTGTCATTCCCATTAGCCCCCTTGTGGCGGGGATGACAGACCAGAGAGGCCTAGCTTGTGGCTAGGCCTGAGGACAGTTGGTCCCAAAGATGAGGAGGTACTTGTGCCTCCTCCCATGGGAGACTTAGGTCTCAGACACTCCCTAAAGAGGGAGCCAAGGCCGGGCCACCACTTGGAAAAGGCCCGGGCCGGGAGAATACCGGCTAATCTTTAATAATAATAATAATACAGAAACTTTGATCGACACCATGCCTAACCCTTCTAGGGTAGGGTAGGTGCCTGAGCCCGAGCCTTTAGCTCACAAGACTGTCATTCCCATTAGCCCCCTTGGGGCGGGGATGGCAGAACAGAGAGGCCTAGCTTGTGGCTAGGCCTGGGGACAGTTGGTCCCAAAGATGAGGAGGTACTTGTGCCTCCTCCCATGGGAGACTTAGGTCTCAGACACTCCCTAAAGAGGGAGCCAAGGCCGGGCCACCATTTGGAAAAGGCCCGGGCCGGGAGAATACCGGCGAATCTTTAATAATAATAATAATAATAATAATACAGAAACTTTATAGGTACCTTGGCATCTACATTGACAGGCACCTCACCTTCCAGAAACATGTGCGCCACATTAAAGAAAGGGCTCTGCAGAGGGTCAGGGCATTGAGTGCCATGGCCAACCCTAGGGTTGGGGCCAGCCTCGAGGTCATGAGGTTGTTCTACATCCAGGCAATACGTTCCCTCATTGACTATGGGGCACTTGCTCTGGTTCACGCCAGACCCACAAACATCAAATCCCTCTGTGTCATCCAGAACACAGCTGTAGGGGGCCATGCTGGGGGCTCCTAGGTGGGCCAATGCAGTGGCTCTGAACCTTGAGGTGCAGCTACAGCCTCTTGAAGACAGGATCCAACTGGTAGCTACCAGGAGGATTGCAAAGTATCTCCGACTCCCAGGGGCTGACAAACTGATGAGAGATTTACGGGTCCGCCAGGGACAGGTCATTCCACTGCATCCCGGCCGCCGATGGATGTGGTCGGTAGCAGATGCCACACAGAAGCTCTTGCCCATGACATTGCTCCAGGCGGGGGGCTGCGACAGACTGGCAGCGAACTACACGGTGCCACCCCCTTGGGCACCAGAGCTGTTTGCGGTGAGCTGGACAACCCTACCAGACAGCAAGAGGCATTGCACCCGGGACATTCTGCACCACCTTGCCTCGGCTAGCATTGTGGGTGCGGAAGGCCCAGGGTGTGTGCCATATTACACTGATGGCTCCAGAGACCCAGTGGCAGGCCGCGCAGCTGCTGGGATGTTCCACAGCAATCTGACAGCAGGTTGGCGCCTCCCAGACCATTGCACCATCCTCCAGGCCGAACTCTTTGCCATCCAACAAGCTCTGCGGCATGCTCTTGCAAGCCATCAGCATCCCCCCATCATCCACGTTGATTCCAAGGCAGCAATCCAAGCGCTTATGCACAGAGAGCCAAAGGACAACATACACTTAATCACATCCATCCGGGGTGACCTGCAGACTCTCATGGCCCAGGGTCGCAGGGCTACCATCAACTGGATCCCGAGCCATGTTGGTATCCCTGGCAATGATGCTGCAGATGAGGCTGCTAGGACTGCAACCCTCGAGGCACAGCCACATGCTGCAATCTCCATCAGCCTCAGCCAGATTGCGCTGTTGGCTGCTGGTGCGGCGAGGCGCCCATTCCCTGACCCTGGGGAGTCACGGAGCCTCTGTTGGTATGTCAGGGCGACCCACAAGGTGCCCCCTCCAAGTCTTCGGACACAGTCCAGGGAACTGAGGGTGCATATCCACCGCCTACGCTTAGGGTATCTCACCACTGCGCGGATTGTTGAACGGGCACGAGAGGAGCTCTGTGCCCATTGTGACCGAATGGTTCCACAGCCCTTGGTGCACTACCTGTTAGACTGCCCGGCTACGATGCCCCTTCGCCGTAGACACTTCCCAATGACCCCAGTAGGGCAGACCCGAGAGAATGAGGCAGCACATCTTGTGTACTTAGCTGTCAGGGACTTGGAAACCTTACTTCCAGTCCTTGCATGTCATCCGCCCCCCCGCTGAAGTTGCTGCGAGGGCCTGCTTTGGGCCTCCATTGCACTGCACACCAGCCACTGTTAGTGCATACTAACGTTTGGTACATCATCTGGCCATAGGGCCGGTGAGGTACCCCCCCCCCTTCCTGCTGAAGACCTGCCACACAGGTGCAAGTAAAGATAAATGTCACTTCCCTACCCGGGGAGCCAATGCCGGGTCACCAAAATGGAAGAGACCCGGGCCGGGATTACCGGCGAATCAAATAGAATAGAATAGAATACAGAAACTTCATCGACACCATGCCTAACCCTTCTAGGGTAGGGTAGGTGCCTGAGCCCGAGCCTTTAGCTCATAAGACTGTCATTCCCATTTGCCCCCTTGGGGCGGGGATGGCAAACCAGAGAGGCCTAGCTTGTGGCTAGGCCTGGGGACAGTTGGTCCTGAGGCCTAGCTTGTGGCTAGGCCTGGGGACAGTTGGTCCCAAAGATGAGGAGGTACTTGTACCTCCTCCCATGGCAGACTTAGGTCTCAGACACTCCCTAAAGAGGGAGCCAAGGCCGGGCCACCACTTGGAAAAGGCCCGGGCCGGGAGAATACCGGCTAATCTTTAATAATAATAATAATACAAAAACTTTTGATCGACACCATGCCTAACTCTTTTAGGGTAGGGTAGGTGCCTGAGCCAGAGCTTTCAGCTCACAATACTCATTCCCATTAACCCTCTTGGGGCGGGGATGGCAGACCAGAGAGGCCTAGCTTCTCCCTACGAACCCCGTGAGGGCGGGGACTGTGGCTAGGCCTGGGGACAGTTGATCCCAAAGATGTGGAGGTACTTGTGCCTCCTCCCATGGGAGACTTAGGTCTCAGACACTTCCTAGACAGGGAGCCAAGGCCGGGCCACCACTTGGAAAAGGCCCGGGCCGGGGGAATACCGGCGAATCAAGAAGTAGTATATAGACACCACTCCCATGAGCCCTCCTAGGGCGAGGATGGTGCCAGAGCTTGCTACTACCTGCAGCTCACTAGACTGCCATTCCCACGAGCCCCCATGGGGCGGGGCAGATGGCAGACCAGAGATCTAGCTTCTCCCTACAAGCACCGTGAGGGCGGGGAATGGGGCTAGGCCTGGGGACAGTTGGTCCCGAAACTGAGGAGGCACTTGTACCTCCTCCTATGGGAGACATGGGTCTCACGACGCTCCCAAGACAGGAAGCCAAGGCCGGGTCACCATCTTGAAAAGACCCGGGCCGAAAGACTACCGGCGAATCAAGAACAACAAACAATACAGAAACTTTGGTTCAGGTAAACAACTGGGACTCATTCCTTGCCTATCTCCTGCACGGCAGGAGATAGGCTTCTAATTAGTTGCCTTGCAATCCCCGTGCTGGGAGAGGCCTTTTTCATTAAATTGAGTTGTGTTCTTGCTGTGGATTCAGCTGCTGCTCTGGCTGCTGCTGATTGACTGATTTAACCACTGAATCACGGCTCTTCTTGCTGTTGGATTGAATACGTGAAGGCGACATCTTTGACAGCTGTTGATTTGCCTACGTAGAGTACTGTCACCACCCAGCAGACAGTGAGCGCTGTGGGCTGCATACGTCAGTGGCGTCAAATCCACAGTGGCTGCCGCTGCCTGCTGGGAGGCAGGCATTGTGTCTCCTGACTGTGTTCATTGGCTGAAACCACGTCACCTCTGCTCCTTGAGCAGAGGTGACATTGGCACAATGTATATTCCTCGCCTCCAGTTCGGCGTGATTGCATCTCTGAAGACTTTTTTTTTTTTTAATCCAATATCTTTTTATGGTGTGACATGAGTTAGCTATCTGTTGCGCAGTAATCCTCCAAGAGGCTAGTCGAACCCCCTTCACTGAGGTGGTAAAAGATCCCCACACAGTGGATAGGCAAGACTACGCCACATGAGCAGTGTTATCAGCCAGATGAATCCCCCCCTTCTCCCTCCAACACTCCTCCTCCCAGATCTACCTCAAAATGCCGCCGAAATGATAGACTTTACACCAAACAAACAAGAAATGGCAAATGATACTATGTTGAGGACTGCTGATACCTACGAGAAGGACTTCTCTCCAGCTCTCTAACAACCCCAAACATGGCTCTTAAAGTCACACAATTTAATATTGTAGTTGGCGATATCACACTGGATGAAGAGAAATAGCTTCTTGAGTCAAAGTTAGATTTCTAGTAAAAGCATACACGGTAACAGCATACAAAGTAACAGCATACACAGTAACAGCATACATAGACAATTTTCACTGAAACAGTATGATGAAAGACACTTCAGTAAAGTTGAGAATATATGGGAAATCATATAATTTGAATGTAGTTTTGAGCATTATGGGGAATAATGAGGGAAATGAGATGGGACAGAGAGCAAAATGAAGAATTAATCATTTAACAGTCACAAGGTGTGGTAGATGGTAAGTTAGAAGTTGATACCGAGTGTATGAGTTTCAAGAGGAGTAGGGATGTGATGGCCTAATAAGTTAATTCTCCATAGTTCATTTCAAAATGTGTCTTTTACTACTCACCTGGTCCTGCATCAAGTTTCTTTTTTTCCCTAGATGGTTTTACCATGACTTTGTGGACACTGGAAGAGCCTTTTGCACTTACACTACATCCGTCACAGGTGGCCTGGTGATAATTGTGATGCGGCTGGAGTTCCTGTGGACCGTAGAGGAGTACAAAGAAAAACTTGAGGCTCATATGGACTATTTAGAGGAGAAAGGAAAATGGCGCAAGGTGAGGTTAAGCCATTGTATTCGGTACTTTAGCATGCCTGAGTTGTGGTAGTGGTAAGTTCAAGGATAATTTGAACCACCTCCCGTTTGAATACCAGCCATCATTACTATATAAACTGCTTGTGGAGGCTGGTATTTAACAGGAGGTGGTTGAAATTAGCCTTGAACTTACCACTACCACGAGTGTCCTCGGATCACGAACAACACCTAGCTCTGCTGGGTGCGTGATTTTTTAAGCATAGCTGGTTAAGTGGTTAAGGCAATATATCATGTATATTATATATATATGTATATATATATATATATATATATATATATATATATATATATATAATATATAAAATATATATATATATATATATATATATATATATATATGTCGTGCCGAATATGTAAAACTGGTCAATTAGCAAGAACTCATTTAAAATTAAGTCCTTCCTAAAAATTTTCTCTTATACGTTTTAAAGATATATTTTTTCATTAATGTTATTGTAAAAAAATTTAAATTTTGCTCTAAACGAATCTTAGAAAACTTACCTAACCTTATTATAAGAAGAACAATTTATTTTAGCATAACCCAACTAAATATATTTTAGATTTGTTTACTGTAATTTAATACTAAACAAACACAGTGAAATATATTTTTTTCGTTAGGTTCAGAATGATTTTGGCAAAATTATTGCATACACAAATTTTCACTTGTCCTATATGGCAAGATGAACGTTGCTATTTAAGCCAAGATCGCAAGTTCTGCCTATTCGGCACGACATATATATATTATATATATATATATATAATATATATATATATATATATATATATATATATATATATATATATAAATAGTACTGGTTTCTTCTGAGTGGCTCCTTCTCTCAGTGGCTCCCTCCTCTCAGTGGCTGCCTCCTCTCAGCGGTCTCCTCTGAGCGGACTCCTTCCGCGCCGCGCCCTCGCGCCCGCCCGCGCCTTCTGCAGCGTCGTCCAGATCGCCCCCACCCCCCGAATTTTTTCCGATTTTTTTCGAATTTTTTTTTAATTTCTTGTGCTCTCAATCTCCTCGGATCAAGTTTTTTTGGATTCCCCCTCCCACTTTCACCTCATCCCAAATTTTTTTTTTCGATTTTTTTTGAAATTTATTTTCTTATGATCTCCTCGGATCAACACCCTCCATTACACCACCCCCATCCCAAATTTTTTTTTCGATTTTTTTTTAATTTCTTGTGCTCTCCATCTCCTTGGATCAAGTTTTTCTCGATATCAATAATACAAAGACTCCAATTCCTCGGATCAACACCCTCCCACCATCCACTTCTACCCCAAGTATTTCTCCTCCATCTCCTTGGATCAAGTTTTTCTCGATATCAAATAATACAAAGACTCCATCTCCTTGGATCAAGTTTTTTGGATTCCCCCCTCTGTGGGTAAGCATTCAAAATGGACTCCAATTCCTCGGATCAAGTTTTTCTAGATATCAATAATACAAAGATTTCCCCCACCATCCACTTCTTCCCCAAGTATTCCTGCTGTATTTCCTTGGAACAAGTTTTTCTAGATATAAAATAATACAAAGACTCCATCTCCTTGGATCAAGTTTTTTTGGATTCCCCCCTCTGGGGGTAAGCATTCAAATGAACTCCCCCTATGGGGCATGATACTTTCTCTTACTACAGGTCTAAACAAGTGTGACGTCACCCAACCTGTGTTTACTCGGCGGTCAGTGACGTCACGTGATGACCTCACACACACACAGGCTGAATCTTGTCGATCGAACATTAAAATGCAGGATAACACTAATACACAATATTTTCATTTATTTATTTATTATACAACCAATACATTTCATATACATTTCTGGTAATACAACATGGGAATCACTCTATTCTCTTACGTTTAGATGGTGGAATATCAGGGTGTCCATAAGCCAAGGATTCACTAGTATTCAAATGATACCTTTTATTATCAAAGGCTGACAAGCCTCCCTTGTTAATTCTTACTGTACATATTTCACCTTTTACGTTACTTATAGACTTACACGTGAATAATTCCCTATCTACATTTGTTAAAACATTCTTATATCTTGCATGAGTTAATAATGGCATAAAATGTGAAGGGATACCCTTGGCTCTGCTGACAGTAGTTGATCTTCCAGCAATCTTTACACAATACATTTTAGCTTTCAGTGCTATCAACCCACTAATATGATTATCACACATTTCAGATTTCAATAACCCCAGCTCCCCTTTTCTACTATTATCATATAAGGGATGATCAGGACTGAAATTTGAAAAATCCATATATCCTAACAAAGGTTCACTTTTTAACTCAGTGTACAAATCTTTGAATTTCAAGCTAAAATTATAGGAGTCGGTATCGGTATACAGAAGTCTTACATCATCATCATAATGTTGTATCGGTATAAAGAAGTCTTACATCATCACCATAATGTTGTATCGGTATAAAGAAGTCTTACATCATCACCATAATGTTGTATCGGTATAAAGAAGTCTTACATCATCACCATAATGTTGTATCGGTATAAAGAAGTCTTACATCATCACCATAATGTTGTATCGGTATAAAGAAGTCTTACATCATCACCATAATGTTGTATCGGTATACAGAAGTCTTACATCATCACCATAATGTTGTATCGGTATACAGAAGTCTTACATCATCACCATAATGTTGTTTTAAAACTTTATACCAAAAATTATACAATTTCTTTTTAGCAATCTCAAGAATTTGAAAACCGAGATAAAGTGGTTGTTTAACTTCTAATTTCTCTTTGTTGAATGTATAAATCACTCTGTCTTGATTCAAATGTGTGATATTTTTTTAAGAAAAGATCTTAAGCTGCTCTAACAAATGCTTTCTCATTATTGATATAACTATAATATTCAGCATACTTTGTAATATTCAATAATGATTTCCCATATATGGTGTTATTAGTTAATTTGAAAGCTTTTGACTTGATAGGACATCGTGTGGCTGTTCTCTGTGCAATATTAGTTGTTATGAAAGGTTCTAAAAATTTTGACTGAGTATATTCATATACAGCATGAACCTTTTCCACCTCTAACCCAAGTTCCAGTAATAACTGTAACAAATCTAGACTGATCAAATCATTTTTCTGAGGTAAATGACTGGCCACTAATTTCGCATTAGATTTGGGGATCTTTCTAGCTTCATTTTTCAATACAGATTCACAATAAGGAGATAACATCTCTTCTGATATATTCATGTGTGATAATATCAAAGGAAGTTCATCAGTACGTCTAGCTACCTCAGGGGACATGGGTTTGGTATCACATTCTATCCAATAACCTTTTTGACCCTCACACGAAACATTACTTAATCCCACATCTAGGAAACCATTCTTCTCCTCATTCGATAATTTTCTGATACCATTCTGTGGAAGAGCTTCAACCATCGCACTAGCATACAAAGAATTAAAATCTAGATATAAAATATGAGTGCCCATTCCACTCTCAATATCAGAATTGGGATTAATTAAGGGATTATCTGCTTTAGTATACTGATTAATTGCACATGTAAACCCTCCTCTGAGATTCCTTTTAATCAAGTCATATAATTCATGAGAATATATCATATCTAATTTTACATTAGTTTTCAAGAGGAATGTATCCCAACTGAATGAAGGTAAACTTATATAATTACTAACATCTAGCTTATAAATATCTTTGAGTGTTTTACGCCACTCCATGAAGACATCGGCTAGCAATCCAACATCAGTCTTGAGGTATAACCTCAGGTAATCTCCTAAAGTCTTACATTTACCCAAGTCAAACACTTTCAAAGCATCATGATCATAATCTTCCTGGCTAATAGCACTTTCTCAAAGAATTAAAAAAATGTTCTTTACTCGGAAATTTTGTTTCATCGAGTTTCTTTAAACTATCAATATAATCATAACACAAAACTTGTTTTCCTTTACATAATATATGTATGACATCCTGAGACACATCTTTCAGAATAGCCTCTGTATATTTCAGGGATTTACCTGCCTTGATATGTTGATCTGCTAAAGTGGAAAGAGATCCATTCAGTAAAGACAGAGAATCTTGAAACCTAACCTTACCTATGTCTACTTTCAAGAATTTGAGTCCTTGTTTCGAATGAAGTTCAATGTCATATTTATCAACCTGCAATTCCTTTAAAATTATTCCTAAATCATACGGCATGTTATGACAAAAAAGTAATAATTTCTCAGTCTTATCTTTACACTGCAAATTACAACGAGCACAATATGCACCAATATAATTATTGAAATTTAAAGTATGGACATGATGTTTATGTTTGTCTTGGGCATTTTTGAAGGTGTTGCCACATAATTCACACGTGATCTGAGAATCATGTCTCATCTTATCCTCCTCTGTCATGTGGATTACATGATACTCTCTTCTAAACTTTATTTTAGTCCATTCACCACTAACATTTAAAATGAAATGATTAACAGCATCCTCCCCCTTGTAACTCTTCATACACACTATTTCTCCTTTGCGATCAAATATAATATAACAATAGGCAATGGCTTTATGACGAGACTCAATTTTACCTGCCGGGAGAGTGATGTCTAATGCACATTCGAAATCAAATACACCGATATATTCGCTGGAATGTGTATGACTAAAATTTTTAAAGTGTACTGTTGTTCCTTCCGGGAGGAATACTAGAATCTGATTAATTTTATATCCATCTTCGTGGATATCTAACTCTTCCTGTGTATTCAACTTCATCAAACAACTATGACAGTGCTTCTTTATACCATGATCCTTCATTATCGTTCTAACATACCCGTCAAAATCTTTGATTAAAACCAAATGACTTTCATTCAACAATAACGCACACACGATGTCCTTATATTTCTTATTCCCCTTACGACACATAGCCATAAATGTCCCTCCTTGATCCTTTCTTAATTGATAAACATATAATGATTCTTTATTTTCCTTCTCTAATATACCTAACTTATCACGTGTT